CACATTCATGTGGTGGGTGCCCGGCCCCGTTGCACCGGGATACGGAACCCAGCACTGCCCACACAAATGTGAGTGTGCCAGTGGTTCTCTTAGCACTTGTCTCAAGACAAGAAAGACAAGTGAGAATCCTAAAGTAACAAATTGTCCAGGCTGTCTATTAATAAAGAAACAGTATCCCCTGGAAAGTTTGAATTTAAAGAAACATTTAGTGTTCAGTAATTCATCAACCTGGATCTCTAATGAGAATATCAAGAAAAATCTTAATTAAACCTAGGCCTTAAACATAAATGATTAGTTTTTAAAAGTTCTTTGTATGAATTACCTGTTAAAATATACTGAAGAAATAGTATAATGATAGTATAATAATATCATGACCAAATGGATATTTTGGTACATTCACCATTATGATTACATTCTATATTAAAATAGCCATAAAAGATAAATAACTGTGCTGATAATTCACACTTAATTGATCAATGCACTATTGTTAATGCACATTTTACTGCTTTGTATTTCCTTTTTCCATGGACCAACATGGTTGCTAACATTCTGACTTAGGAATGCTAATCTATCTTTTAAAATAGATGTATCTTAATGAGCTTTATATTAACTTACAAGCACATGAGAAAGGGAGGAATTACTTGATTATTTACTTAAGTGACAGTAGACAGAAATTTAAAGCATATGCATTCCTCAAAGATTAAAAGCAGGAGCAGTGACAGAAATGTGCAGATAAATCAAGTACACATACTTACAGTCGCTGATAGCTGGGGTCCATTAAGTTGTGCCTGTAAAATGGCCTCATTGATTGAGTACCGAATACCCAGCAGTGCCAGTTCTAGATCATGAGTTACAGCCATTTCATTGGTGAGGTATTCCAGGGTATAGATATATTCCCTCCAATGAATGTCCAGCTCAGATACACTGGCAAAACAACCTCTCATCACATTTAGGCAATATCCTTCACAGGGCCTGATGAGAGTCAGACCTTGGCAGTGAGGACAATACTGCATTTTCACAAGGCCTCGGATACATTCTTTGGTCAAAACAGCATGTTCAGTGGCATTCAGCACTTCAACGCCCATTCCCAGGGCCTGGTTGAATGTTCTGCTTGCCCTTAGAGACTTTGCTAGCTCCATAACAGCTTCTTTGGAATAGCGCCCAAATGGATTGATGTCTTGTCGTGTTTGTCGCAGACATTCCATATATTCTTCTGACAAGTCTGTCATGCCAGGGTTTATCAAGCGGGTATAAACCAAAGGGAAGAGGCTGTCGAAGAACCGGAAAAATGCTTTTTCCACTCTGTTTTGAGCACCCAAGAGGTAGAGAGAGAGGTCTGTAAAAAGTTCTTTCACGGGCTCAGCTGCCTCCTTTGACATGGATCTGTAGACAGTCTCAAAGAGAGAAGCGGTGTGATTCTCAGCAAAACGAAGCAGGGACTCAAAGGCTGCTGCAGAAATACATTAAAAGTGAAGGGAAAGTCAGTGTTTCCGTAATACAGCTCAACAACTTGGAACTAAATATTATACCAGTACTAATTACTATTCAGTTGTTTTATAAGATAGCTAGGCATTTTCTTTCTGCTTCACAAATAGGGACAGTTGAAATGGGGCAGGGGATTCTCACTGCTTTTATTGTTTTCAGTGCTGCTTTGTTTGAGGCTGACATAGATTCTCTAAATGCTGGAATACCTGGAAAAGGCTGGCCCAATTCCCAGAATCTACCAGTCCTGGGTTTGCTGAAGAGGTGAAGTTATACCAGTGGTGGGTTTCAAAAA